GCGTATTAAGGCGAGTGCATTTCGTCAACAAGTTGATCGTTATGGACGATGAAAAATATTTTACTTTGTCCAACTCTGAGATGAAGAGTAACGATGGGATTTAAACGAACGATTACGAAAATGTACCTGATAAAATAAAATTCAAAAGTAAGAAAAAATTTGAGGCCAAAATTTTGATATTGTGTACAATTTCTGAGGCTGGCTTTATCTCACAGCCCTACATTGGTGTTATTCGAGGCGAAGCCTTAAACGCAAATATTTATATTCAAAGATGTCTCTCTAAATTGGTTTAGCTTTTGGCCAGATCTTGCTTCAAGTCATTACGCAAGGATCACAAGGGACTGGTACGAAACTAACAACATTACCTTTGTACCGAAAGCAGACAATCCCCCCAACCTACCTCAGGCTCGTCCAATTAAAGAGATCTGGTCAATATTAAGTCGGAAAGTCTATAATAACGGATGGGAAGCACAAAATCAGAAACAGTTAAGACGCCGCATATATACAAAAATTAGAGAAATTGATGCCGAGGTCGTCCAAAGGATGATGCAACGTGTCTGGGGAATTATTAGGCAAATCGAAAATAATGGTCCCTTGTCTTTCATTTGAATTTTGATTTATAATAAGGATAGTGAAGGTAAATTGTTGAATAATTTATTAAAAATATAAGATTATTGTGGTCAGAGTTATATGCTTTTGAAATTTTTCCCAAAACTTTAGGACCATACGTTATCCTGAATAAAGATTTCTGCAAAAGGCTTTTAAATTTTTATCTGTTGTGATAATTGATGTAATACTGTATTGCTTGCACTTGTGTGAACGTGTTATGTAATGAACTGGAACTTCTTTAGCATTATCGGAAGGCCATAAATCTCCATTGACTTACCATCTGTTGTAAATAAATCTTCATCATTCTGATCATTGCTTCTGTTAGCACAAGATATGTTCAATAAACGCAACAGAGTTTTTGATTCTATGGAATCAATTAGCCTAACCAAATTTTTTACGGCTCGTAAAATTAGGACAAGTTATGGCATTCTCCTATAATTTTAATGGTATAAACTTTTTGATGCCTACTACTATTTTTTTTAGAATACTTGTAATAGAAAAGTGCAATATTTTCAGCACGACTGTTCGAATATTCACACAGACTTGAATGATTGACTATATGTACTAGAGGTTTTTGAAAAAAAAACAACCGGAGAAAAGCACAAAATCCAAATGAAATGTTAGTAAAGTGAAAATCGAAGCTATCAAACCTCTATAAGAAGACGAGTTCATAATAATACTACCAGATGACAAGAGCAATGCAAGTGTAATTATTATCCAACCAAATAACTGAAACACAGACTATATAAGACGTTATACAAAAAGGAATACCTCACAGACTACCAAAGAAGAACACTAAAACGTCACTACAGTAGGGTACCACACCTATTATAGGTGTTACTGAGTCTCAAACATACACAAAGAAAATGTAGCCCACAGACTAATTTGTAGCAACATAAGTTCCTTCTAGACATATTACAGTTTTTATGTGCCTTTAGCACACAATATAACAATATTTATACAAAACTCACAACATTTCCTGCAACGACTAGGAAAAATGTATTACAGTCCCAAGAATATGCTAGTCAGTTTCGATATTAGGTACTAATATTTTTACCAATATGCCATTGAAGAAAACATAAAGAGTCAAATTAGTGAGGAACGATTAATTAACAACAAAAACCAAACTTAACGTGTCATCTATATAATGGAAGAACTAACACATAACACTTATTTTCAACTTGATAATAATTTTTATTCACAAATTCTTGGATTACTCATAGACTTATTCTTATCTCCATTATTAGCAGATATTATCATGAAGAAATTCGAATAAAACGCTATTCATAAGCATGACCAACAACCCACGGTATAGTGAAGACAATATAGATGATGTGGACCTCACAGACCACAAGCATTGCACAAATTTCTAATAAACATCAACAGTAAAAAAGAATCAATAAAATTCACCAATAAAAAAATACCTAACTTCCATTTCTGGATCTGTTAAGCCGGAGATACATATGCCTGTTACTCGCACAATGGCATACCAGTACCTAACAAGCACCAGTTACTGTCCCAAACTATAAATCAGCAATATTTACTTGTTTATTTCATTTCGAATACCTTATTAATTACAAAATAAGTACTTATGAAAACCACTCGATTGTTTACTAGCACTGGTATGGGTAAAAATCTACCCTGCTTTTTAGCCTTGCCAGTATAGGCAAGAGAGCTACTGGTATGAAAATTACTAGCAAATGTATATTTTGTGCTTACCAGTTACTGGCCTATGCAACTGGCATGTCAGCTACTTTCATAATTTACTGGCATATGTATACCCGGCTTTATTCACTAACGAGGATATATGATCTTCAACCAAAGGTTACTGACCATCCAACAGGTGTTTAAATTACCACTCAAAGTACAATATAAACATAGAAAAGAGAAATATCCCTTTTATGATATAGCCCAACACACTTCTAATAAAGATGCAATTCAGGACGAGAAAAACCTGCTAACAAAACTTTGAACAAAAAAATGATGACCCGTCATCATTTACAAACAAGAATTTTCTCAAGAGAAAAGAAAGAAAACAACAAAATACCACAAGCAAAACAGATACGCTTACACGAAGGTATTTAAATGGGACAACAATGCTATATGTAAAAGATTTGTCAGAAAATTAAAAAGAATAACAAATAAGTAGAACATCACAACATCCAAAACAAATAATACACTGAGATATATTCAATTTTAAAACGAAATCTAACATTACGAAAGTGGTCAAAGAACTGCATCTATAAAATACTGTGTATATACAACACATGTTACATGGCAGAAAATGCAACACACTAAGTTAAACGAACTAAATGAGCATGAAACGTACATAAAAGCAGAGAAAAAATAACAGATATGCAAATGTGCCTGTAACAATAAGCACAGAGTACAACAAAAAGCATCAAAAATCATGATATAAACAAACATAAAAAAGAGAAACACCAAAGAAGCAGCTCTAATCTTACCTAGTGAAGAAAAATGGAGCCAACCCATCAGCAGAATGCGGGAAGCTCTGGTTGGTAAGTTAAATACAATTTTTCTACTCTTTTACTAGTAAATTGTATATTACCTACTATTTGGATGCTAAGTAAATGCATCATAACAGATACTGACACGTAATGACTAGCACGTAATAAAAAAAAATTACGCTTCAGTTTTATAATAGTATATTACATAACGAGAGTTGTAAGAAGCTTATTACATGTGAGTAAAAAAGTTGCGCGCGAGCCGCGTAGCGGCGAGCGCAGTAATTTTACAAGCATGTAATAAGCTTACAACTCAAGTTGTGTACTATACTTTTTCTACCATTATTTTCGTTTATAAAAATAAAAATTAAATTACCACTATATTTACACTGACAGATTAATAATTTTTAATCTGTCAAAATAACGTCTGTTAATTCGTTTTCATGGTAACTCGACCAACTGACTTACAAGGCTTATGTGATATTACACATTTTTTATAAAACTGAAGCGTAATTTTTTTTATTACGTGCTAGTCATTACGTGTCAGTATATGTTATGATGCATTTACTTAGCATCCAAATAGTAGGTAATATACAATTTACTAGTACGCGAGTAGAAAAAAATGTTTAATATCACATAAGCCTCGTAAGTCAGTTGGTCGAGTTACCATGGAAACGAATTAACAGACGTTATTTTGACAGATTAAAAATTATTAATCTGGCAGTGTAAATATAGTGGTAATTTAATTTTTATTTTTATAAACGAAAATAATCGTAGAAAAAGTATAGTACACAACTTGAGTTGTAACTCAAGAGTCTTACAACTCTCGTTATCTAATATACTATTATGAATTGTAATTTTCATTACAGTCAATTGTGGCTTAATTCGATATAAACATAATTTTTACCTTGGACATGCTACAAGAAAACAGTTTCAGGACCTTGTTAAACCATGAGTAGCACCTCAGAGAATATCAAAATAGAAATAAAAATAATAAGATGAAAAAGACAGCAAATATTTGATTTCACGCAAACAGCGCCTATGTGTCTGTTGATACGTATTTCGACCTAATAGGTCTCATCAGAACAGTTATTCATAGGTGTTCTCAACGTGAAAAATCAATATTTTCTGTCTTTTAAGAAGCAACACTAAAATGGCTTCAATACAGACGCAATAGCGATATCTAATAATAAAATCCGTAAAATAGTTTCGAAACACAATTCAGATTTCTGCTTATAATCTGAGGCTTCTAAAAATTGCAAGGCAAAAAGACGTTGATAAAAGATGTTAAAAGGGACATGGGAAATCTAAAATTTGCATTCCACGACATGTCTTTACAACTAAGTAGAAATCCTTAGCGAATTGTGTTTCTCGTACTCACACAGAGTATATCAGAATAAAATGAAAAAGACAGCAAATATTTGATTTCACGCAAACAGCGCCTATGTATCTGTTGATACGTATTTCGACCTAATAGGTCCCATCAGAACAGTTATTCATAGGTGTTCTCAATGTGAAAAATCAATATTTTCTGTCTTTTGAGAAGCAACACTAAAATGGCTTCAATACGGACGCAATAGCGACATCTAATAATAAAATCCGTAAAATAGTTACGAAACACAGATTATAAGCACAAATCTGAATTGTGTTTCGAAACTATTTTACGAAAAATAATAAGATATAATAGGTCTCCAGCTACATAAATTTGAAACAAATCGTAAAATTTACCACAGAAAATCAGAATCTAGATATAAAAGGCCAAACAAGATTAGCATACCAATAATGACATACGACAAAGTAAGACCACAGATGAGGTAAGCAGATGATTTAAAGAAATGATTCAAGATAGATCAGAAAATCGCAATGCAGATAACTCTCTGAAACTTATATAAAAACTATTTCTTTAAAAAGGAAAAAATAATATGTTTATTTGTAAATTTTTTTCATTTAATATTTATATATTAGCAATTTTTATATTTATATATTTTTTTATAGATATCAGAAGAGGTGTGAAATTACTGAACATATCTTCCTATAAACAGAATAACTCCTGAGTCATTGTCTCGAATATAATAGAAGAATGGATGGTCAGCTTTAAATGTTAAGTCTGTATCTGGAGGTGGCAAAGGTAATGAACGTATTACTCCAACAACTGAAACAAAAAAAATTAATTATAAAAACGGGTATATTTTGTTTTGATTTTACTACGACGATTTTTTTAACAAGATAAATTTTTTCTTCAAGTATAAGCATATCGTAGCTAAGTAGAAATCAGACGAACATAAAATGCTATTAAAAAGCAATTTAATAGAAAATTAAGAAAATTGGGAAGGAAAATCAACAATAAGGCTTTATATACTTCATCTAATTTGCATACCGATGCAAGTCATCGGCATCATAGCCCGTGACATCACATGATACCAACACGAAATATTTAGGCGGTAAGTGTGTTCTTTTTTAGAATCACTTTGCCTAATACACTGGCATTACAGCCACTAGACATATTTTATTATATACGCGTAGAAATAATATTCAAAGATTTCTATTAATGTTACCTTAAAGAAATACACAATAATATGTTTCATTTAAATTGTATAAATGCATTATAAAGCGTTTTTATGAAGAACATTTGTTCGGAACACACTGTAACTGCCATCAAACGAAGGTGAAATTTTGGCATAAATTGGTAACACTTATTTGACAGTTGCGGTGTTGACACTTTTTGTACTTTATTATTTTGAATTTTAAAGTGAATACCTCTTGTTTTATATTTTTACCTATTTAATAAAATCTGTTCTTTTTAGAACAAAATTAGTGTGTTTTATTTCAAAAGTGCCACGTAAGAATTTAAATAGTCGTTGTAAAGAGATGATAATACTTTTGCAATAATTATGTGACCTATTTGATTTAAAATGGATTCAGGATTTTGTTATACTTTGGCAACTATGTCAACTTCGATCTCTGACGTAGATAATGACGTGCAACGGTATGTAAATTAGATGAGGTATATTTCTGTTTGATTTTGCTATGTGTTGTGTATATTAAAAATATCTTGGTCGATTTATTATGAATTTTTGATACGCTTCTGTTAGTTAATGATTGTTTCATAATTTAATTTTTTTAAACTGTTAATTGTCATTATTTGCATTAGATAAATTTTTCTTTATGGATTTTCAAATAATTTCAAACAGTTCAAAAATTTTAAAAGTTGCTGATAGTCAATTAATTACTTGTAGAATATATTATTGATAGCTCATCGTTGTTTTCAACACTGCGTGTTTTGTTCACGCGTAATGGTTTTTCATTGTCAATATTGTTTTAAACATGTCTTTATAGAAAATAATACCTATGTTCTTTTTTATTATTGAAATCATTGAACGACGCATCAGAAACGGTGAGTGCCAACGGGTAAGAATATAGCTACTTCCGAAAGTTGGGAGCCAATGCATACCAATAAAACTAACTTTCTTTGTTCAAACAATTGATAGGCATCGGTTAGCTCAGTCTCTCCGTTGTGAGATAGTCTTATCTTAAAAGTAAATCCGAAGAATAAGTTTGACAGGGACAAATAAAATAAGATAAGACGTTCTCACACCTGGAAGAGAGCTAGACGAGGCCTAATAATTGGCTCCGCAAAAAAAATTGTGAGTTCTATTGTTCTAGATTGGCTCCCATCTTTCAGAAGTAGTTATGTTGTTACCCATTGACACCTACCGTTTCTGATGGGTAGTTCGATAGTTAAACATTGGCGCCCAACATGAGGCACAAAAACATAAGTATATATTCTATGCCTACGACATAAAACAGACTAGAGTAGAATACACGAAATATAACCAAACTAAATAAATAAACATCAACCATTCAGTAATCGGGTACATGCAAATTACATGAACAGTCGGACGGGATCTGTGAAGATCAGTTTTATTTTAAATATTATATTATAAAAGATTAAAATAAAACTACTTGATATTTGTACAATCTTTTCTTATTTTATTTTTATACATCTTAACCATTTTAAACTCAATAATAAAATAAACAACATCTTTAAGAAAATGCAAAAAAACTCTAAAAGTCAAAAAAAGACAAAATTCTAATCCTAATTTAAATTTTCATTGCAGTCTTCGCAAATTAGTTTAACATGGTGTTAGCATAGCCGTTTTTGGCATTTGACACAAAATTATCGTGTTTTATGATTTGGACAATAGGCGCAACGATCTCGTGTATTTGGACGGGGAGGCGCTGGATCTGCATGTACTCCACTTAATTTTTTGGCGATATTTCTGGTAATAAGATCCTTTTGTAAATGAGGATCTCTTGCTCTGGAACAGTTGTAATTTTGTGCTGTTCTAGCATGCGTTTTACAATTTTGTAACTTTTAAACCAATTATCCATGGTTATATTTCTAGATGATTCAAACAAAGGCGCACATATTCTTTCCGCTAAATTGGTGTGTTTGTACTAATGCGATATGACCCTGAAAGCTGAGCTCCAACGTATACTTCCATATTTACCATATTAAAATATTTGGCGTCGACTAAGGACAATACTTTTATGCCATATTTGGCTGGCTTATTCGAGATGTACATGCGCAATCCGGAATCTCCACGAAATGCAAAAAGCATCTCGTCTAATGTTAAGTAAACTACTAAATTGGTCAAAAACGTTTCTTATTACTGCAAGTTTGTCTATGGTTCTTCTTTTTTTTTTTCTAGTACTTACATTATTCAAATGCAAGCAACGTAGCAAGAATACATATTCTCTATGAGCCATAGTAGCTCGAAACACCTCTTCGCCTGTTCCAACAGTACCCCAAAATTCTTTGCAATCTCAGCTACTTACTTTGAAAACCCCAGCTCAGTATATTAGACCAATGACCCCTTTCATTTCCACAGTATCTGTAGGTCTGGCTTCATTCTGATCAGTGTAGTTGTTTCTTAGTTTAGAAATAAATATGTTTGTGTTCTGTACAATGGTTTCAAGAATATTATCTTCAATAAAACATTCTCAGCAACACTCTAAAGGATTAAATACTTGACGAGCATTTTCTTTTGAACTTCTTGTCCGAACGTTTTTTGGAGGCTCATGTTTTCTCCAGGATACCCTATCTTTTGCATAATAAAAGAGCCGTTGGTGTTCCCTATTTTCAAAAAATTTTGAAAATGCAGGTTTCTCCTTCAATCCATCCTTTAATTCTTCCTCCCATTTATCTTCTGTCTGTGTTGTTGTCACTTTATTCACACCTGTCTAATTCTGCCTAGCTTTCCAAATCAATATTTTCTTTTTCTACATCAATATAGAGCTGTTGTAATCTCCGAATTTCTTTCAGATAAGAAATAAAAAATTAGAAGCTAAAACATTACCATATTTATATATAATCATAGAAATTAAAATACTTACTCTGTGTAGGTTAAACTTCATAAAAATAGGAAAATAATTCTACTTGCCGAACTCACAAAAGTTACCCGAATTGTCGGGCAGAGTATGACAGACCAAAAGTGCCAAACCCCGTTGTTCACTTATGTTAGACATGTAGACGGAAAGGTACTAATGAACACAGCCCACTCCAACATATAATAAGCAGTGAGGCATTAGAAATAAATTGTCGCTGGTCCCACAGGCCCCACTTGACTTCTCGAGAGTTAAAGAAAGATGAAAAATAAAGAATGAATAGCATATTTAGTTGATCGACTAGTTGAGCGCTAACTATTTTTAGAATAGGGATAGTAACATAAAAGATAAAGTTATTAGCTAAATAAAATCGAAAGAAATTGAAATAAAATACATATTAAAAAAAATAATAAACATGTGACATTTAAAACTTTACACACTCCTACCAGCCAATGGAAACTTCAATTGAAAAACAAGAACACAAGAAAAGAGTACATGCAATAGGAATCTGTAACAACAAATCAAAAATAAATATTTTAATATTATAAATTAATAATAAGTGTAACTGAGAGAAATATTTCCCAATGATTTTTAGTCTTCGTTAGACTAAATTTGTTTAAATATTATGGGCTATAGGACAAATGGAGAGAATGAGCTAGGTATGACCATAAGACAGATGAGAATAATATAGAAACAAATAAACACCTGCGTATTATCAGAAAAAATAACAGATATGCTGCAGCTATGCCATAAAATAATTTTGTTTTAATAAATCTGACACACATTCACACATAAACACACGGGCATATACACATAAATACAATATACTCATAGCTACATGCACATATCCACCATGTCATATGGTGAGATTTGTGCTAGAATAATTTCACTTCAAAATCTCGAGATATAATATTATCTTATCCAAGGAAAGCATCGAATACAGGAAAAATTGTTGCTTAAACTTATCCAGCACTGTATTTAATGAAATAGAGTGCAAGAAAACTTTGAGGGATTGTAGTCTAAGCTATACATCAACATTTACAAAAGCTAAACCTACTAAAAGCCAAACAAGAATGGATGACACAAGAAATTCGCAAAAAGATGGATGAAAGAAGAATACCAAAAACAAAGATAAAATTTAATATCAAGAAATTATTAAACAAATAAAACAGAAAATAAAACAAGCTAAGGAAACATGGATGTCCATTAAATGTCAAGAAATTGAGGGATGTTAGGCAAGGTATGACACTTGAACCCACCCACAAGAAGGTTAAAGAAATAATTTCGGGAAATCGTAACAAACCAATCGAGATATTAACAAATGCAGATGGTACCACTATAACTGAAACGCAAGACAAATTACGTAGATGGAAAGAATACATTGATCACCTATTTTATGACCAACAAGTAGAACAATTAGAAGTTGACGGAAAAACCACGGGACCAGAAATGATGAAAGAGGAAGTTATTTATGCCATAAAACACACAAAAGGTAGAAAAGCTCCAGGAACCGATACCAATTGAACTATTTAAGATAATTGATGAAGATAATATTGATGTCTTGGTAGACCTTTTTAACTCCATATAAAAAAAGGGACACATACCCAAAGAATGGCTTCTCTCAACTTTTGTAACGATTCCAAAATCACAAATACTAAAGATTGCAATGACTATCGGACAATTGCATTATTGAGCCATACATTGAAAACTTTCCTTAAAATTATACATAACAAAATCCACATGAAATTAGAACAAGAAATTCAC